ATATATCTATATATTATGACATAGTAGACATAATAATTTCTTACATTGTAAGGACATCGAAAAACAGATAAAGAAAATGATTGATTTTACTTATAACTTCACTCACAGTAGGATTATACTTAAATTATGGCAAGTACCTACATAACGTGTTCTCTAAAAGTGTTTATTAAAATAATTAACAATATAAATTATTAAATCCTGATAAAGCCTATTTTTAGAAGTCAGTACCTAATAAAGCTCTTACGCTCACTCACGTGTCCTTCATTACCTATTAATTAGGTATGAAAGCGTTTTGACAAACATTTTAGCCAGTTAACAATACCTACTTACTACAAGATATATCCTTATTTTTTGACGAGAACGAAGGCGAATAAAAACGGGAAAATAAGCAAGGGTGGCAACTGGCAACACACATTACAGCTTTCGCGTGTAACAGCAAATATAGGTAAGTCACAAGGAAATGAGGATACCGGATACGAGATGTTCTGCGAAATCATTAAGGATAGGTACCAAGAAATCACGATAGATGCCGAATATTCGTATTTCTTACGCGTCTTAATGTTTGGTTTTATTATGACAAATCACTATTAAATGTAAGTGTTATGTCGCTTCACTGAACTAAATCCAGTAAAATGTTAAAATTACTGACATATTAAGATAAAATATATGATAAGTTAGTTACACATAGGTAAGTAATAAAATGTAAGAATAGGCAGTAAAATGTTTTCAGATTCAATTATTCAAATTATTTCATGAAACCAAGTACTATCGCATAAGGCTGTTGAGCGAGAAAAAGTTCTATTTTCCATTTTAGCAATCAAATTCGATCCACTACCGATTGATGGACTTGGCATGGTCTCGCCCGAAGCGATATTGCCAAAACGTTCTTTTTTAAGGCGTTGCACGGGACGGCTGGTGTATCTGTCACCGTAAAATTGTGAATTCCGTCAGATTATAATCTGACATAGTTAAATTACAATCTAACCTAACCTAACCCACTGTTAGTTTACAATCTAACGCGTTATATTATAAAATGACAGAGTTCACAATTTCACGTTGACATATCTACGCAAAGGGTAAACTTTAACGCCTCCACCCTCCCACGCACAGTGCACTTATCCCCCCGGAAAGGTGAGGCTGCACAGTGTGGGTGCCCCCCCCATCCCCCTACTCAGCCTCCTATCCTATCGATTCTCGGATTTTCATTGCGAATATTGTTGCAACATTTCACATAAAATGAAACATTCTCTACTTATTCAGTTAGGAGCGACTGCGATTAACGCTCAAATTCAGGTTACAAGCGAGCAGTCCAGATGAGTTAGCACCATAATTAAGAAAAAACTTAAGTCCTACTTGTTGCTAAGGGGTGTTTGTAGGGTTACCATATGTCAAGATTATGTCCTGTTAGATACCTAGGTCGTAGGTCTACGGCTGAGTTGCACCATCTTACTTTAACTTTGACAAACGTAAAAAGTCTGTCAAACTCCAAACAAAAAGCACCGATTATCGTTATAGCAACTAGCAACGGTTAAAGATAGGCGCCTAAGGCCGGGTTGCACCATCTTACTTTAACTTTGACTTAAACAAACGTCAAAAATCTGTCAAAATCCATACAAAATACATCGGTTATCGTTATAGTTACGGTCAAAGTCAGGTGGTGCAACTCAGCCTAAGGCTAAGTCTAAGCCTAAGGCTGAGTTGCACCACCTATTTTTAGGGTTCCGTAGCCAAAATGGCAAAAACGGAACCCTTATAGTTTCGTCATGTCCGTCTGTCCGTCTGTCCGTCTGTCCGTCTGTCCGTCTGTCCGTCTGTCCGTCTGTCCGTCTGTCCGTCTGTCACAGCCGATTTACTCGGAAACTATAAGTACTACAGTGATGAAATTTGATGGGAATATGTGTTGTATGAACCGCTACAAAATTATGACACTAAATAGTAAAAAAAAGAATTGGGGGTGGGGCCCCCCATACATGTAACTGAGGGATGAAAATTTTTTTTCGATGTACATACCCGTGTGGGGTATCAATGGAAAGGTCTTTTAAAATGATATAAAGTTTTCTAAAAAACATTTTTCTTAAAGTGAACGGTTTTTGAGATATCAGCTCTCAAAGTCGTAAAAAGTATGTCCCCCCCCCTCTATTTTTATAACTACGGGGTATAAAATTCTAAAAAAAATAGAGGTGATGCATGCTAATTAACTCTTTCAACGATTTTTGGTTTGATCAAAGTATCTCTTATAGTTTTTGAGATAGGTTGATTAAATTGACATAATAAGTTTATTATATTTGCTGCTACGGAACCCTTTGTGCGCGAGCCCGACTCGCACTTGGCCGGTTTTTTTATTTATAACCAACCCAGCCTTAGACATTTTTTCCCTCATCATGATTCTAGTCGGACTTGGAATTTAAAGGGTTATTTTGTCAGTTATTTTAAACAAGTTTTATTTTAATAAAACTGAACATATTTTCTTAATTACTACATCTTACTCGTAAATCGCATGGTGAAGAATGTATTCGCGTTCGTAAGTTTTTTCAGGACCAGGATTTTCGTTAAGATTTTTTAACTATCATATCAACTGGTAGCACTAGTTGCTGGCAAACATCGATTCTATCTTATTATTTTCCGATGAAATTGTATTGTAGAGATCCCAATTGCTCAGTGAAGCGAATACTAAAGTTAAGGTAGTTGTCCACTATTCGATTCCAATCGAGTGCGAATAAGAGTGCACTCAAGCAACTCTATTTAGAACTCGCAACAGGTTTTCTAGTAAATATAATGAATACACCATTTGGACTGTAAATTTACAGTAAAATAAATCCAAATCTTAGACAAACAGTCCAGTTGGGTAGATCCAACTTAGAGAAAGAGGTCAATCGTCAAATCCAACTCGGCTGGGCAGCGTTCGGGAAGCTTCGCGATATTCTCAAGTCCAAAATACCGCAGTGTCTCAAGACAAAAGTCTTTGACCAGTGTGTGTTGCCAGTGATGGTATACGGAGCTGAGACGTGGTCGCTTACTATAGGCCTCATAAGAAGGCTCAAGGTCACCCAAAGGGCGATGGAGCGTGCTATACTCGGAGTTTCCCTGCGTGATCGAATGAGAAATGAGGAGATCCGTAGGAGTACCAGAGTGACTGACATAGCCCGCAGAATCGCTAAAATCAAGTGGCAGTGGGCGGGGCACATAGCTCGTAGAGCTGAAGATGACTGCCGGGGCAGGAAAGTTCTTGAGTGGCGACCACGGGCCGGAAGACATGGCGTGGGCAGGCCTCACACTAGGTAGATCGACGATCTGGTGAAGGTCGCGGGAGGTGCCTGGATGCGAGCGGCGCAGGACCGATCTTTGTGGAAATCCTTAGGGGAGGCCTTTGTCCAGCAGTGGACGTCTTTCGGCTGAAATGAACGACCGAACGAAATCCAAATCTAAAGGTCTAAGTTAAGTACGTCATACGTACGTAAGTCTAAAATAAGAAGGCGCCGGACAAGGCTATAAATAAACTGAACTATTTCCATTATTGAGTATCTATCTCTATGCGGCCAGACCACGACCTAGATTTCCTGACTCAATGATTAGTATCATTGAATTTCAAGCCATATTGAGAACTTAGTTTAGCAAAAGAAATCCTATATCGTAGGTTTACTTTTATGTAATTTTTTGCAGGATTTTAGGAAGCTCTTTTATACCCCAGTAAAATTTTTACCTAGGACCTACTTCTTCAGGACGGTCTACACTGCGCCTCTAGTCCCAAACTAAGCAAAGCTTGTAAGTACTATGGGTACTAGACGAGGGATATAAACAATGGCGTGAGGCCCTTTACTTGCATGGCGCTTACTTAAACACATCTCAATATAGTGGTAAGTTCATGACTTAATTGTGTGTATTACATACTTAAATACTTTTTTTTGTAAATACATACATATTATACATAGAAGACACCCAGACCCGTCACAGAAATAAAAAATCCATCATTTCAATTTCTGCCCGGCCGGGAATCGAACCCGGGGACCTCTCGGCATAGTAGTCCGTTCTGAACCACTACACCAAACGGCCGACAATTTATTACATTTATCTATTATTTATTGGAAGTTCAAAAAAAAAATCAAAAAAAAAATATAATATATTATGTTATTCATAATAACCGGCGATTATTCATAATTTTCACATTTATCACATTTACCGTAACATCTATTTATAACGTAATGTTCATGTATTAAACAATAGGGCAACTTATTACTAACACATAATACTGCCAACTCTATTGATTTGAGAATCAATTCGCTTCTATTTATAGCAATTTCATGTAAATTTTCACTGCCTAGCTAGATCCAGTAGAAATGAGCATTTACGCCTGACCTACTTTTCTGGGATGACGTTGGATTAAAGTAAACAGACCACAGATCACAGAAACTAAAGGGAGATGTAACAAGGCGGCCGGTGTCGCAGCAATATGCCCAAAAACAAAACACAGTGCTCGTGACAGCAATGATGACAGCAGCGACGTCATAATGTAACAGTTTACATTGCTTGCGTAGTACGTACTACCAGTAGTACTAAAGATTATTTGAATGTTGAGTACTGATACCGCAGAAGATAGTGAGCACATAATAATATTTTGATTACTTTGTGTGTGAATTTCTAATGCGACACTGAGTTACGAACTCAGCGCATTAGTTGGCTAGGGATGTTATGGATATGTAGTTTCGGTTAAGAATACGGTTACGGATATTCTTCTTAGTCGTTACGCTCTTGGCAGAGCGGTCGTGGTCACGTTGAGGCGTTGTTTACATCGGTTGTAGAGGCGGATACAACTCTCCGCACGATCTCCCTCCATCTCTCTCTATTGGCAGACTGGGTTACGGATATAGGAATAATATTATACCGTTTCGGTTACGGTTACGCATATTTTTTTATTTCGGATATCCGAAAGTTTTGGTTACGGTTAAGGATATCGATATCATCCCTGGTTGGCATCTCTCTATATCTCTATGAAACAGACTTACTTGGCATACGCCTTTTCTAGCAGGGCAGGCCACAGTTGACCCGTGTGGCTGGTCTGCAGAAAGGCCAGCTTTCCGTTGACTGTGGGGAGCCGGTCGTCCACCAATACTTCAAGCCATTGTCCGCACCACCATAGTCTGAACCTGCAATAGTCCGTAATACGATCAGAACAACTTCTCAACACTGGTAGGGAGGTTAAAAATGCTTAAAAAAAGATCACGTGATTAATGGACGGCCCCTAATAAGTTTAATTTTGCCAAGAAAAGGGGTATTATGTCTGATTCGCGTACCTCCTGGGTATCAAGTTCCGTTTCTATGATGTTTCAAAGCTTAGGGGGCGTCCATAAATTACGTGAGACAATTTTGGCCATTTTTCAACCCCCCCGCCCCCCTTGGTGAGATTTGGTGAGATTTTGCCTGACCCCCTCCCCCACCCCCCTAATCTCACGTGATATTTAATAAAATGCCTATTTTGCAACGTCTATGCTTCGAGTCTATTAGATTTATATGAAAAAATCAGTAACCCAGTGTCGTGCCACGCGCAGTGCAGGGTTCCGTAGCTTGCTAACCGTCGTTTAGTAAGACATGCAATGAGGGCTATCGTTTTAGCGCTCACTAGTTAGCGCCACTGTAGAGTAAGGTCCTGTCACTTGCTAGTAGCAAAGACAGTGGGACCAACTGGTGAGCACAAAAGTGGTAGGAGGCCTATCGTGAGATTTAGTGAGGTTTTCGTTGACCCCCTCCCCCCCCTAAAAGTCTCACGTAATTTATGGACGCCCCCTTAGTACTGTAGTTAATTTTAGTAGGATTAGCAAGCTGAAAAGGCATTGGGCAGGGCACAGAGTGCGCAGAACTGACGGCCGATGGGGCAGCAAGATTCTGGACTGGAGGTCACGTACCGGAAAACGCAGCGTAGGACGTCCACCCTCAAGGTGGATCGACGACGTCATACAGGTAGCAGGAAGGCGCAGCCCACAACAGGTCGCTAACGAAAATCATTGGGGGAGACCTATTTTCAGCAGTCGACGTCCCATGGCTGAAATTATGATGTAATGATGATACGAAGCCCTAGGTATATTTTGCCTATTTATTAAGGCTCAGTTCTCACCTGAAGACTCCTGCATAAGGTGTGTCCATCCGCTGGTCAGCTGGAACCACTCTGTAAAACAGCCCCTTGCTGAGGTACAGGACCCCGAGACAGGACACCAGCCATTTGTCTCCTGGAACCAAGCCTCTATGTGAACCAGACACGTGGTACCAGTGGTATACCACCAGTCAAGTTTCTTTGGTTTGGTACCTCGCGTCTTGAATCGTACGTATTGTCGAGCAATACTTAGGCACAACATTAGCATTTCGCATGATGCAAATGGATATTAAATGATAGTTATATTCTGCAACGTCATTTAACGTAGTAGGTGTCAGACATCAACGTCTTTACGTCTATTTCATACATACAGGCTCTGTAGATGCCTCAGTTATACGGGGTGTTGTTGTCCTAATCACATGTCATTTCCAACGGTTCAACTATTGAGGGACATTTTCGCTCTACTGGGTTTATACCAAGCTCACTATAGGCGGTTAGTTATCAGCCCACGCTACAATAGTGGAAGGCAACATTGCTATGATTGGAAGTGGTTCCACGTATGTGGTCTGTGGTTGAATTCGAAATTGCATCTTAACAGCCAATCTCAGGATCTATCTATCTATCTACCTTTATGGTTTGAGAGATGAGGAACTGGCTACGACAAACACAAACCACAAGGTAATAATAACATACAGGGTGTCTATGGAACAGGTCTGTCTTTCCCAAACACTCGGGCCTTTTTAAGGCGAGAGTGCATATAATACACTCCGATTGCGGTCAAATACCTGCCTTGTTTGTTAAGCATAAAAAAACTACTAAATCAGATAAATAACATCATCATTTCCATTCGATCTGGACTTCTACCATCAAGTTGCATCATCTTCGAAGCTATGGCTACGGTCTCCTATAAAACGCTATAGCGGTGTACGACGTCAGCGTCAAATGTTTTTATAGACGCCATAACGTACGCTAACGTCGAAGTCCGAAAGAGACCACACAACACTACATTTTGTATAGGTACTTAGTCAGAATTGTGACGAGGCCTACGGCGTGACGCTGTGTACGCGGTCTACTGCTTTTATAGGAGACCAAAGCCTTTATCAATCGAGTCTAGATGTTCATACTGAAAATGAAAATAGGCTATAGACTCGTTATACATACATTACATAGTTTCAGGAGGCTCTCTTATTCACAAACTATGCTTGCTTAAATGAAATAGCAAATCGAACGCACAGCGTTGAATAGAGCTCTTGGATTGGTTCGTGTGTAGGAGACCTCATAGTAATGTTTGTGAATACGGGCGTTTGTGTTCGTGCACACCCTATATGAAGGCTATGCTGTTATTACCAATGATGAAGTGCGAGGTCTGCGGTCGACCTGGGAACTAATCACTAGAAGGATGTTACTGATTCTGAGGGATGCACTTGCGTCCTTATTAATGAAACCATTATACCTACCTATTTGTTGTAAGTTTTAATACATTAATTACTTAAGCCAATATTCAAAGTATGTAGGTAATAAGTAGGTATCTAGGTTCGTATTATAAAATGTCATGCGCAGGCGCTTAGTTCGCTTCTGTCTCAAGTTTTTAATGTTTAGTAATGATTGGATAAGCTTCAGTTTGAGTCGAATTTTGAATGCTGTTTCATAAAACTTTTAGCTAGAGCGTAAAAGGCATTCAGAGAAAATTAAAAAGCTTTAATAATTATATTAATAATGGTTGGCTCAAGGGTCAGATGCAAAAGGCGGTGATCCTCAGCACGGCACGCATTGTCCGGAGGTTCCTCAGCCTGTGTCAGCTCAGCTTGAGCCCTGCTCCGCTGCCGGCGGATAATCTAGTTTTAAGTTATTTTTTATAATGTATTTTTACTTTTTTTTTGTAATTTACATTGTAAGAAAAATATTTAAAACTAAGAAAGAAACATGAATAAAGAATATTAATAATAATTCGATCATACAAAAAATTCCGCGCTAATTAATTTTTTTTATGGATAGAGACAGTCACTAAATTGCGTTACTTTGTAGAGCCAATCAATGGTCAAGATATTTTATGCGAAAGCATCTGCCATCATACATGAAATTCTTAACTAATTACTGTATAAATCCACTTTATTAAGAAATTTATTCAGCAAAATAATAATTACAATCGCAATGCATTTGTAGAAACACAATAATTAAATGTAAGATACATAAATAGTATGAAATTAAAACATACATTCGCGCCAATGCTTGACACACTTAATATTTAATTAGTGTATTTTACACTGATTCCTTGTGCTCAGACAATAAACCGCTACAAATATTTGTGTTATGACTAATGACGCAGGTACACTATGCGGGAATTTGACCGAGCAGAAGCGCGAGCACGCACGCCGTAGTATGGGCGACGCGCAGCGAAACTAACTGAAGTGTGTGTTTACACAATGTCTCGATCAATTTCCAGCATAGTGTAACTGCGCCATTATGTTGCTATACTTGTACACAATGTAGTATCCTGTTTAGTGGAGAAAAGATGTTTCCAATGAAATCGTGATAACTACACGTGTGGAAAACTCACCAAGTTTCCCGGGAACCACGTCGAATGTGTCGCAATTGTCTTGTACAAACGTCGGGTTTGTGTATATTTCCTGCAAAGAAAATATTAACTATGAGTGAAATACAAAAACACTATCTTATATCAATTTATCAATAGGTAACAAAATTATTTCGCAAATAAAGATTTGATTTGATAAACACTGAGAAGTTTAATGCTTCTGTTTTTCTCGAAAGGAGAAAAGATTAATTTTTTTACTAAACTATGATTTTCAGATTAAATAAGTAGGTACGTATAAAATAAAAGCAATTTATAATTTACTAGCTTTCCGGCCGCGGCTTCGCCCGCGTTTAATTTTTCGGTTTTCTAAATAACCTATGACACTCAGAAATAATGTGGCTTCTTATTGGTGAAAGAATTTTTAAAATCGGTTCAGTAGATCCCGAGATTACCCCTTACAATTTAACAAATATACAAACACAAACTTTACCTCTTTAATTAGTAAAGACTATAGATGATAGATGAAAACGGGGAAAGGATTAATTTGTTTACTAAAATTATTAGATTAAGGATTGAATTGAATTCAAAATTGTTTTTTATGAAAACCCGTGTAAGTGTAGGCACGTGTAGGCTAAGGCAAAAACAAGTTTTTAACTGGTGTTGTTAGAACAGTAAGGCTGAGTTGCACCACCTAACTTTAACGGTAAATATGACGATAACCGGTGCTTTTTGTATGGAGTTTGACAGATTTTTGTCGTTTGTCAAAGTTAAAGTAAGATGGTGTCACCCAGCTTAAGTTATGTCAACGTATGGCCATCGAATATTTTAATACTGATTTGTTTTCACGCTGTCTGAACTGTGTCAGTGCATATTATATATGCGATGTGGAGACAGACTCATTTACAACGCGTCTAAAGCTATTTGTTATCCCCATTTGACCTCAATATTACCTGAAAGATAATGTAATCATACTTATTTACAAAATAGGTCTAACTACTAGTATTATATCTGTGCCCAAACTTAGTAAAGCTATGGGTACTAGACAATGGTATATACCCGCTCGAATACCGGTGGTGACAAAAGTTCCCAGAAATTTTTGGTAGTAGATGACCGCTGGGGAGTTTTGTCACCAAGATTTCATAAGATTTTTGGTCTGTGTTTCTTTGTCAATTTGGGCGTGTTCCTTTACATGTATGGAGATATGCTATTTTTGACATCAACGTTGGTAAATTTAGCGTTATCTGTGATATTTCTTTAATCTGTGAGCGTTTTGTGAGCGATGTAAAAAAATGTTGAAATGGAACACTCTCAGTTTGACATGAGCCGTCAAATGTCGGATTTTTGAAGTTTTTATTTTTTATAGAAGAAATATTCTTCAAGTTATGTTGTGCTCTTATGTTTATCTTACAATACATTAACCAATTGACCTAATGAATAAAAAAAATAAGTAGGTTATCGCTTTAATTACGGAAATATGACATACTTTAGCTCTCAGTTTGATATGAGCCGTCACACGTCCGATTTTTAAAGTTTTTATTTTTTATAGAAGAAACATTCTACAAGGTAAGTTGTGCTCTTATGTTTATCTTACAACACATTAACCAATAGACCTAATGAATAAAAAAAATAAGTAGGTTATCGATTTAATTACGGAAATATAACATACTTTAGCTCGAGTATTAGCCATTTCTACAGCTAGTTTCGACTTTCATAGTTCATTGTAATTAATAATGTACACAAAAAGCAACGATAACAACACTGTTTGAAAGCTACATTCATCTGCTATCATAAAAACGGCACTCCATTCATAGNAGTGAGTGAGTGAGTGTCGTAAATGCGAAACTTTGCTTTCGCTTAACTTCGGAACTAAATGACCTACAGACTTGAAATTTTGGATTTTAAGTATGTGATTATAGCTTACTAGATGACAAAAATTTCTGCGTTCTGGTCTTATCCAGAGGTTCTCAAATAGAGGCCTAAAAATGCGGCGAAATGGTTCCAGTAAAGATGGTACGGCAGTGTTTGCTTCGCGCTCGACTTGGCGGGGGCACTGCCGTGCCCCCAGATATTCTATGGTTTGTTACATACTTACTTAAATACTTACATACATTAATATTATAGATAGAAAACACCCAGACGGATCAAACAAATACATTATGTTCATTCACAAAAATGTTTGTAGATATACTCGTACTGTGCGTGAATCGAACCCGCGACCTCGGCATAGTAGTCCGTTACGAAGCATCGTATGTTCTGGCACTATATTTTACTCATATTTCGGTGTACCTACCAAATATCAAAGTAACTGCAAATTTGTCTGCCTGTTGCAGTTTTATGACTACTAAACTTTTATGAAGATTACCCACGTACTCGTACTAGGTGTCTAGGTATCTGTGAAATCCATAATTAAGATGGACGATGGAGGTTGGAGATAAGTATGCAAAGTTTTAAAATGTTTCAAAAAGTATCTGCGAGTAAAGTTCACAAGTGCGCTAGAAATGGAATCGTAAGTGCCTTTTCACACGTTCCGGTTGCCGGCTATCCGGCGCCGGGTACCCGGTGGTGAAGTGTATGGGCATGGTACGTAGCTTTCACATGTTCCGGCGTAATTAATCCGGCATGCCCATACATTCACGACCGGGTACCCGGCGCCGGATAGCCGGCAACCGGAACGTGTGAAAAGGCACTAACCGTATCAACTCGAGGCGGTCATTCTTTGTATGAAACTCCATACTTTACTTACTGCAATCTGCAACGCACACTTCCGCACTGTAACGTAAACGCCTTGCCTCGCGATTGTAAAAAGGCGATGACAACTCGCGAAACACATCAAACAGAGAATGGGCAGCAGCGCTCTCTGAAAAACATCAATCTTTTAAACTGCGATCTCCAACCCGCCTGCCAAGCGTGGAGATTATGGCAAAACCCTACACTATAGTGGAGGAGGCTCCATAGTCCAGCAGTGGACTGTAAAGGGCTGTTGATGTTGATGATGAACTCGCGAAAGGCGATACGGCGCTGATCCCTTTCCGACTTGATAAGTCTGCTATGAGCTTTAGCCAATAAAATAGTAAATTCCAAAGCAGACGCTACATTCAGTGTCAAACTCGTTTCGAAGGCTACCGGAGATAAGAATTTCTTTGGCAGACGTAATATGCATCGGCATTCGGCTTATTCGTGATATTGCTACCTAATATATTTATTAAGGGTTCCGCACCCCACACGGAATAATACAACTTTTATCCATTCAAAAAGTAGTTTTCAATTTCAGGCTAAACCAATAAAAAATTTTCAAGATTATCTGGAAATAGGTTAGATGAAAATTGATAAGGTGAATCTAAAAACAGATTTCTAATCCAGTACTCAAACTCATCAATCAGTACCTCTAGTACGAAAAACTTTCGAGTTCGTTTCGTTGCGTATTCAAAGTGTCATCGAAAAATTTTGTATGAAAAATTAAACAGCGCCCCCTAGGGCGGCTATAATATAGGGGGCGCTGTTTAATTTTTCATACAAAATTTTTCGATGACACTTTGAATACGCAACGAAACGAACTCGAAAGTTTTTCCTACTAGAGGTACAGCTTCAAGCTCCAAAACTCGAGCCTTTGCGCAAAAATGTTTTTGAGTGGCGATCACGAATGAAGGTTGCAGGGTGGATAGTATTAGACCTCCCACTCGGTGGAACGATGACCTGGAAGGTTCCTGGTTGCAGGAAGCCGCTGGCTGCAAGTGGTAGAGATCCGGCTGCTGTGTTCTTTAAGGAAAGTCCATGTCCAACAGTAGGCTTTAAGAATGTAACAGCTAGAGATCTTAAATTATAAAAAGAAAATCTATAAATTGGTGTGCAATTTGCGGTTGTTTTAAGTTTTTTACCAAATTAATACAGTCGTTTTGACAACTTTCCACTCTGTTCAAATCCCAATAATTAGTTAGTAGCACAGGGCCGGGGGCGTAATCACATAGGTAATTCAAATCACTGATCAATAAAACTGCGAGGAAGGTTGCACGTCTTATTGAAATGTAAGTATTCGTTCGTTAATGTGTTTCGTAAGTATCGCACTGGTAATTCTTCTCAGCATCGATGACAAATGATATCCCGATGTAATAGAGCAAGCTGAAAAAGGCTTTACAGGACACATCCCATCACACTTTCCTGCAACTGCAACTCTTTATAGCCAGTAGATCCTGACTCTAATGAAACCTAAGTACTTACTTAATGAAGCTTGAGTAGTCTCGGGGGATAGCTAACTGTCTTTGAACCCGCGACGAATTTAATCAGAAGAATAATGAGTTCGGTCGTTCGAGTGAAAAAGGCATACACAACAAATAACAAATAATTTTTATTTGAATAAAAGATGCTGATATACCTACCTATTCCATAGTTTAGGTATCCATTAGTCTGAATTTTTCCCGCTACTTCTTTTCAGCTCCAGCCTATGTGTGTTCCCGAAGTTACCACTACTTCGGGACAACATTTGTCCAGAAGAAGTGGTAGGATATCATACGCTGTATTTAGAACGCAAAATGCCTTGAAGAGGTCAAGTAGACTTATAAAGAAGTGGAATTGGAATTTGAATCTTGTCAGGATTGTAAACACAGTTAGGTATGTATATTATTACCTTATTGTGATATCCGCAAATGTGCCATATACCGTTGTTACTTTGCATATTGGTTTAGCAATGGTAGGTATTCTTGATCTTAAATGGTATTTTATTCGTAGTCAGGAATTTAGTGGGCAGAGTGTAGGCCGCTCACGGTCAACGTGAGCTGGCGGCCTTCTTCCAACTAAAGCCTTTCGATTTGAAAGTATCATCACTAATTAGTCCGTAACAATATTTAATAAGTATTTGATCTTTTCATTTAATAGCTATCAAATGACTGTACCTACCCTGTGTGTACAAGATCGAATCAGAAATTAGAAAATCCGTACACGAACTAAAGTCGCTGACATAACCCGACGGATTACCAAGCTGAAGTGGCAATGGGCAGGGCACATAGTACGCAGAACTGACGGCCGATGGGGCAGCAAGGTCCTGGAGTGGAGGCCGCGTACCGGAAAACGCAGCGTGTGACGTCCGCCCATAAGGTGGGCCGACGACATCATAAAGGTGGAAGGCGCTGGACGCAGGCCACACCAACCGGGCAACATAGTATAGTAGTATCCTTAGACATTTTTACACTACGATTCTAGTCCCAAACTAAGCAAAGCTTGTACTATGGGTACTAGACAACGGATATAAATACTTAAATACTTTTTTTTTGTAAATACATACATAATATACATAGTAACACCCAGACCCATCACAGAAATTAAAATTCATCATTTCAATTTCTGCCCGGCCGGGAATCGAACCCGGGACCTATCGGCATAGTAGTCCGTATCGAAACCACTATACCAAACGGCCGACATGGAAAGCATTAGGGAGGCCTATCTTCAGCAGTGGACGTCCTATGGCTGAGATGATGATGATGATTTATATTGTTGTTATAATATTTTTTCTACACTAATATTATAAAGAGGAAAACTTTGTTTGTTTGTTTAGTTGTAATGGATAGGCTCAAAAACTACTGGACCGATTTTAAAAATTCTTTCACCATTCGAAAGCTACATAACTCACGAGTAACATAGGCTAAATTTTATTTTGGAAAAAATAGGGTCCCGTAAAATATTTGGGATTTTCATAAGACGTGGAAAAGCGCCATCTATCGTCATTGGTTAAAATCTTCTTGCGCCTGACAAAATTAGGGGGCGTCCATAAATTACGTGAGACAATTTTGGCCATTTTTCAACCCCCCCGCCCCCCTTGGTGAGATTTGGTGAGATTTTGCCTGACCCCCTCCCCCACCCCCCTAATCTCACGTGATATTATTTAATAAAATGCCTATTTTGCAACGTCTATGCTTCGAGTCTATTAGATTTATATGAAAAAAT